CCAGCGGTCGACCAGTACGGTCGACCGCCAAACTCTCTGGACGTGGTTACTGTAGCACAACGGCTATATTTTCCAGATTTTGATATGTCCATTATTTTGTCTTTTTGTTTGGTTTTCTTGGGTTTTTGGGCTTGTTTCATGAGCCTATATATACTCCATGCCATCATACTTCTAAGGGTACTCAAGAAATGTTTTAAACAAGTTTAAAGAGTTTTAAACAAGGGTTTAAGTGTGTTTTAGTGTTTGTTTGGTTTGAAGATTGTTTTCACAAGTGGAGGAGATCATCTTCTTGTTTGAGCTCCAATCTCCATCTCTCCATCTTGTCATCTATTGGAGAAGTTTTCTAAACTCTATCTAGCTTTACATTTGCTTAGTTATTTGATTATCATTCTTTAAAGCTAGTTTTTTTTATTGAGTTTAGATTTGATTATATTATCTTATTGTTACACACACTCACTTGAGCTTATTGTATTTGCATACATAGTATATTAGGGTTGTGAGAGATTGTAACATTGTTTGAGTGTGCTTTGGCGTTCATTCATTTTTATGTTCATATCTTATATCGCCATTGTCATTAGCTCATTATCTATATCATCCACTATCTAGTTCATATTGTTTACCCTTGTGTTAGTTTCATATCCTTGCATATATCATATTGTAGGATATATTATCTTGTATTAGTTTATATATCCTTGCATATATATTTCATCATATAGGATATATCTCATTGTTCATATTGCTTATCCTAGCTTACATAGTTGTTATATTTCATACTTGCTAGGATAACTTGTTAATATATTTTAATTGGTATTTAATCGGATTAGATTAGCATAAGACCCTAATCACCCCTCCTCAAGGGTCTAACACTCGGTACATCCCTCATATAAGTCATTTTTATTATCTTCTAGTAGCTCCATTATTCACTTTATTTCTGTGGAGGAATGCATATCATCAATATTTTTAGCACTTTTAACATCTCCTACCTCTTCAGCTTCAACTTCGATATCATCTTCACTTTTATCTTTGATATCATCCTCGATATTATCATCGACATCATATTCTGTAGGTCAGGAAAAAAATATCATTCAACATTGATTCTGTGTCATTTATCCGTAAGCCACCGGACGTACCAACACGCATAGTTAGATCCTCGTCTTCAGTACAACCTTCCCCATGATATGATCAATATTTATATTTTTTTTATCAAAATATGATTTCATTAGGTGGATCAGTATATCACTTTATTCAGCAGCTTTATATTCATACACCCACAACAAGGACAATACATAGCACCGCTACTTAAAATTTTCAGATTCATTTCAGCATAACGCATGAAGGCTTCACATCCCTCCTTGTATTGCGTATCACGAAATCTATGAAGTCGTGGAATATCTATTCATGATTTGTCAGGAATTATCCTCATATGTACATTATATATAATTATTAACTACTATTAATCTCATAACTACTAGTACATTCAAGACTCTTTGTGACAATATACATACAACATACATCAAACATACGTTCATATATCATTTAACAATATGAATATTTTTCTACATAAAATATATCTGAAATGTACATAGAAACTAATTACACCAATCTAGCGGTTGTCATAGGAAGGCTTTTATCCATTAAGAATATAGTAGTGCTTACATCCAACTTCGTATACTTTGTATATTTTTATTTCTTAAAATTTTGGTAGCACCTACCTGATGTTCTCTTTGTACACTATATGAATGTTATTATGTGTATCGGCAATAGCTCAAAATGCAGAACAACAGACACTTATTGTACACGGAGAACAATGAATATGTGTTGCTGAAACTTTCAAGAATGAAAATATACAAAGTATACAAAGTTAGATATATGCACTACTATATTCCTAACCCGTCCGAGAAGGACATATCCAATAATTACGAATTTCAGTACTAATTATTTATTCGTGTAATATAAAGTAAATGATCATTTTCGGGAGTAAACTTTGTCTCCTAGCTAAATATGAGTCGTCTAGCTTATATTATAAGTTCAAAGAATTAGATATAATTATTGGACGGAAGTCTAGGGATAACGTTATTTTTTCATTCACCTAAATTGGATATATAACACATTATTAAAAGATATAATGTGTTATATATCACTCTATTTTTTAAAAAACTTTATTTCACATATTTTCACATCACAACCTTACATAATCACATATATTTATAGTTTTTACATCATAATTAGGAGTGATTGACTATCATGAATCGGGTATTTTTTACGTCATAATTTATGGTGGATCTGGACTTGGATCGTCATCATCGGAGGTTTCTGAAATAGATGAATATTTTGCTGCTTCTTTAGCTAGATGTCAAGGAAATGCTTTAGATATTTTGCAATGGTGGAAAGTATATGGATCAGTTTCATATCCTATACTTTCCACCATGGTTCGTGACTTACTAACAGTACAGGTTTCGACGGTAGCTTCGGAATCCGCCTTCAGCACAGCAGGACGTTTGATCGACGATCACAGGACATGCTTGGATCCGTATACTGTACAAGCAGTGATGTGCTTACAAGATTGGTGGAGGTACGAGAAGCGAATACAAGGCATCGATCGGATGGCTGGAATTAAAGATAAATTTAAAGAATTGGGACTAGCAGATAGATATAAAGAATAAATTGTAGTTTTTATATCTTAGCTTAAAATTTGTAAAGAATTATTTTGGAAATAGTTGCAAATGATAGTGATATAGGTGTGTAGGTGCCAACCTAGTTGAGATTTACTTATCTATTGTGATGCGATTAATTCCAAAATAAATTTGCACTTGTAATTTGTAAATGATTTTTTAATTATTAATAAAGAATTTGTTTTTATCATTTTTAGTTGTAATTTATGTCATTTTAAGTAATTAATAAAATTATTGTTTTTTATTATTTTTCTTGTCTTTTTTATAATTTAAAATTTAAATAAAATTAAAAAATTTTGAAAAAAATTTAAAAAAAATAAAAAACACCCGGGCGAGCCCGGGGTACCCGGGTCCGGGTCCGGGCCCTGGTTTTGCCCGGCCCGGATGGACAGGCCTAAGTCTGTGCTTTGAACGAGTTAAAATACTAGTTTAAGAAATGGTAAACTAATAGTAAATTTTTTTTTTCCTTGCAGACGAATAGGATGTAAGAAAACAGTAAACTAAGGTGCTGTTTGGTTCGTTATTATAAGGGGTGGAAAACTCAAAAAACTCATCCACGTCAGATTTTTAGCCCTCCAATCAATTTTTTTGTTTCCGTCCATTTCTTTGTGCCGTTTTGGTTCGCTCGGATGGAAGAGGGACTCTGCTGAAATCACCGCCAACTAAGATTTTTTTCCCTCTCCGATTTCCTTCCCCAACCAAGTAAAATTGATGAAAACTCTGTCACGTCAGATTTTTTTCCTTCTCTGCTTTGTTTACAAAAGTTTTCCTTTTTTTTCTATGCGAACCAAAGACAAGAAAAATAAATACATTGGTTTCCCACCATTTTTTATGTGCGAACCAAAGCAAAACAATCTATTTCTTGGAAAATTTTGAAAAACTCAAAACTTGTGTTTCTTTACATGGAATTGCATTTCTTTATATCAAGGAAACGAACCAAACAGCCCCTAATAATAAATATTTCTTCCTCGCAGAAGAGTAGGCTGTGCCGGAGTCGCAAGACCTACAAATTTAAAAGAGTATTAAGGCGATCAAGGGCCAAGACCAAAAAAATGATAATTAAATTAAAAGGAATATCAGAGACAGGTTTCGATCCTGTGACCTGTGGGTTATGGGCCCACCACGCTTCCGCTGCGCCACTCTGATTCGCTATACAATTCGTGCTAAACTATATTAAGACTAGTACCTAATAATTTGCTTGAGCAAGCACTCCACAGAGTTCTGGTTTAGTTGTTTTCTTAATTTATTCACCTGTTACCCGCCATTCTTATTAATATCAGGACAATAGTTTCTTTTTCTTTTCTTTTTTTTTTTTTGTGGCAATGCCCCCCCAAATAAGTAAAAAAGGCTGTCTTATTTTTTTAAGTAATTAGGATGAGCTGCTCAAGAAATTTATGAACCACAGGAAATGGACACATAATCACATAAAGATGATGAAAAAGAAAAGTAAGTACGCTTGAATCAAGGTGCGCGCTGCTCTTAAATGATCGCCGCCTGCTCTGGTGCAAGACAATATCACAAAATTTGAAGAAAGATGACCACACAGTTAACAAATTAGGCAGTGAATAATGTTTTTTTTTATCTAAGTTATTTTCGAGCGAGATAGTTAGGTTCATAGGAAAAAAAAAGTCATCTTGTTAATGTTTTCTCCATGCCTAATTGTCTATTCTAGAACATGAAGAGAGGGAACATAATCTTGCTATGGTTCTTAAGAGCCTGTACATGGATTTTTGCAGTGGAGAACATGTTCCGTACAATACAACGAACCCTTCATGTATTTTTTTCGAAATGCATTTTTATCTCGATGTATTTTACTTTATTTTAATTATTAATTTCAGAATATGACCTATTTCTCAGTTAGTAGCTTCACGATAATATGAAAAATCTCCTTAAAAGGGCACTTATATGTTTATCCCCCATCTTATGTGCAGAGAAACAAGAGAATAGTGTAAATAGGCTTGCTTATAAGAGATCATAGGCAAGAGAGGATCATTCAGAGGGTATATAATGAAGTCAACATTATGTCCAATTTACTGCACGCAAACACATACTGAAGTTGTACAGACAATGTCTTTTACATGGAAGAATTGTCAAAATTAAGGTCCGCATCTATTTCATTCATCAGGATGTATAGCCGCAACCAAATAATGAAGAACTGAACTTAGGAAGTTAAATAAACACTCTAGACAATGGAGACCTCACAATCGTAATCAGGTGCAAGATATCGCAGTTGAAGGCCAGATACAAATACACTTTTCCATGCATATAATTCTTGAAATAGAACAAAAAGAGAGCGGAAAAAAACCACAAATTGCATACGATTGAAAATGTTGAAAAGAAACTAACTAATCTGCTTTTCATAAAGAAAGCTGAGGAAACAAGATTAAAAGTGGCCATCAATTATTTGATGATGCATTGACAATCCTTAAAGAAAAAAAAATTCAAATGTCAAGTGGAGGCTTCCAGCCACTTCAAAAAACACTACCAGAGAATAACAACGGTCATACATGGGCAATAAAATTGACCAACAAACAAAAAACATCCAAAAAGCTGTTTGAAGCTGCACAATATAACAAAACCATCTCACATCAATTTTTATTTTCAAAAGATGGTTCATGCCTCAGTGGTGATCGTCGTCATGTCCATCTGGGTCACCTCCATCACCGATAACCTCAAGCTGGAGTAAAGAAGAAATAAAAAAGAAAAAAATTAAGAGATTAGCAATTTTCTGCACTTATAATCTGATATGGAAGTGAGCTGAGAATCTAGTGGATACGCTCACCACAAAATACTGAGAGCACACAGGACATTCATGTGGCTTGTCTTTCTCCAACCAGAACCAGACAACATCATGTTCATCCTCTGAAAAGAAATGAAGATAACATAATAATTTGGCCAATCAATATGGAACTCAAGCCTTCCCGAACAGAAACAAGAAAATGTTTCAAATTTGCTCCAGCACACAAGATTGCACGAGATTAGTAAAAATAATATCCCTTCCAACAGTTAGAGAGAAGACAGCAACTTACCACCTTCGCCACCAGGACAACCAACTATTCTTTTGTTGTAGTAGGATTGGATGACAGCAGGTGCTTCCTACAAAATTCCGAAAAGAAATATCATGCAATAGTCTTACAAAAATCTCCAATGTAACATGCAAACGAAAATTCAATAAAAATTCAATAAACTCAAAATGATACATGACGAACTTTCTACAAATGAAAAAATATATAATGGAGAAACCTTCAAAAACAACAATCTCGGTTAATTGAAAGTACTATATAACATGAAAGAATGTGAGTCTAAAAAGCACTTCAAAAACGCGTGCTCAAATCAAAAGAAAAGCAGAAGCAGATTTGACACCAGACTGCACAGATATATGGTCAAGAGATGGGAAAGAGCTGGCATCCCCTGGCTGTAATGTGCAGTGACCCTGTTGCCATAGCAAGGGTACATGTCTCTAGAACAGCATGCATAAGCTCAATAAATATATTAAATGAAACAACCTCTTATTGACAGCACTAACATATATTTAGGCAATGCAAAATTATGCATAAACAAAAGAATCCAACAGGATGATTCTAGGTAAACTAGTTAGGGCTGCCGGACTTTGACAATTGATAAGTGAAAACTTCACAAGATGACTCCCCAGTAAGAACTTCACAAAATAATTCCACATGAAGAACAGGAAACTGTATACATAAAAAAAAAGATAGCAATAGCAATGGAAATAATAATATGTATACCAGTTCTCTGAGGTAAGGCACATGAATCCTTTTTCTTACAGAAAATAATCATCCTACGTGGCATTTCATAGAGAACCTAGTAGATGTCCCATCCATAGCTTCTGTCAGAGTAGCATACTTTAAATAGCAATCAATCTTCATATTACTGAAAAATCTAACAGATTATCTATCTGTAGAAAAGAACTATATTCGACAAATTAACTTGAACTAAATGGATAACAAGTTTTACTATGAAGAGGAAGCAATCACACAGCACTATGAAAATGAGTCCTCAGAAATTAATGTATTGCAGACTAGTATGTTTAATTCAAAGTTCCAGTATTTTAGTTTACGCTGGTAAAAGCTAAAAGATTCCCCTTTAAATAAAAGAAAGAGGGAGCAAGTGTGAGAGGGGATGGAGCAAAAGTTTACTGCAGAAGACACGATCTCTGTTCCTATAGGTCATAATCTCATGAAAGACAAAGCACCTTCTGCTATGGTATGCGATCCTATAATAAGACATAAGATGTTTACAAGTATTCTTATAGTACTTGTTCGAGAAGACGTAGATATTTCCACTTTTTTTTCACTAACGAGAATTATAAACTGCACAGACTATCATGAGAATCGACCATATGAAAATAATCAACATCATGCATCTCCTGTTGCTTTTCTCTATTTTCAACCACTAGCTTATTCAAAAGTTTCATCGCATAGTTACTAGTGACACTATTCGAACTTGGTCATATACAAAGTTGCTCACACTACTCAACCTTGGTCATACACAAAGATGCCCTCTCTTTCGTGATTACCACTTTATTTCATTTTTAAATACAGATGTCTTAAATTTGGTGTTTTTAAAGAACTGAGAAACACACTTAGTTAAGCAACATTATGGACATCGGCAATTGAACAAAACTCATACAGGATCATTATCACTACCAATTGCAACCTACGTACATAAACAATTTTTCCATGAAGTCTATCATGCCAGGTACGTAGCTTCAGATGCATATAGTAGTTATCTCAGAACACTCGTGTATATATGACATGTCCATGTCAACATCTCCACGTCATGGCCACATGTGCAGCAACTATTATAGAGTGCAGTTACTGTTGAACATGCACCACCAATATTCACCAGATGATCACCATATTCGACATGATACAACAAAGTATATTAGAAAACAAACAACAAGGAAAAAATGCTTCAAGCTAATGGAACTTTACAACGAAATCTCCTCGTTCCCAATTAAGATAGAACAATAATACTCAGAAAAGACTTATAGGTTATGACTAATAAAGTAAAGAATGCAATCCATCAAGCTCAGGTAAAAACTTCCCCTAAAGCATATTCGAAAATTTCAATTCAAATTTTATGAGACATTATCTTCCACCTATGAACAGCAATATCATCATAACACCATGACCTACAAAATGGTCTCTGGCTTCCCTAAAATAATCCTAACCTGTAGAACACTGAAGTACATGACTTGGCACATAAGACATTTTAAATCTCAACTTGTAGAGAAAACCACACATACATCATGGACTACTAGTCTACTATAATATATCATTGCTAGATTGATGAAAAAACAATACTAGAAATCCTTCTTAATCAACATTTTAAATATTGGATGCCGAGGAAATATTGCTCAGCCAAAATCAATATCGGATTGTGGATATCGGGATAATATCGGGAATATGTAGTAAATATCGAAGTGCCATAACGGATGATATGCATATATAATATAATTTCCTAAAGCTAAAATGTGACCTAAACATACTTAATGAAATCTAAACATATAAAAAGTATAAATAATATATGTTTAAGACCACTATCCAGTTGTAGAAACTTCGGGAAAAGAGCCTACTATAATTTGACAAAAAAAATTCGTAAGACTGGAATTTCTACTAAAAACACTAAAGAAATTTTGCGGAACTATATTGTTTTGCAACAAGCCACATAAAAGGACATATAACATATCGTCTTATATATTGGCCATGTCAGGGATATATTGACCAAAAATTGACAAAAAAAATAGTTAAGGATATTGAGACCAATCGTTTCGCAGCAAACTTTATAGAAGGCTATATCGACCAATACATCGCCTATATTGGGGGATATTTAAAACAATGTTCTTAACAGGCATTAAAGCTATCTTGTGATGCAAATTCATGGGAGTAAAAGTCCTATGACACTAAGTGGCATGATAGTATATAAACATGACTAAGGTGGCATCAATGTTCTAACTCTAACACAAGAAAGTAAATATTGGACTACTAATCCAAATAAGAATCATCAAGTATTACAACTAACGACATGAAAATACAACCGACACGTCCTCTCATGATGACTATCCAAGATTGAGCATTCAAAAATACTATAAAGTGCAGAACTAAATATGATACCTTCAACATTCATAATGATCAATCACAAACACATATGTAAACATTTTGATGTAGTGATTAGCAATTTAGCATAAATAAAAGAAACCTTTCCAACCAACATGATACATAAGGATGAAGGTTATTTCTCACTCCTACACCCGACCTTCATGTGTACTATCCATGCCTATAGCAACAAGCTCCTTTTAAGCATTATTTAGACTTTGTGACTTTGACTAAAACTAACTAAAGCAAACATAAGATTTTTTGTAAGAAGGGAGCATGCACTAATAAAAATAACACCAAACAATTAGGAGAATGTGATAATTTCTCATGCTTAGTGTATCAGGTGCAGAATTTCACTTTATACCAGAGAAAAAAATATTTGACTGGGAAAACTAAGATAACAAGATCTAGATTCAGGAAATAGGGTTTAGCGGATGAAAAGGGGGAAAGAAGAAGAAACCCACAACACACAAAGTAAATAGTTTCTAAAACCAAGCAAGTAGTAAAAAAGGTCCTCAGAGGTATATGCGATGAATTGACTTCTAGAGAAGATAGTGATGGGGTGATGAAACCCAAGATATTTGGATTTGAAACCCATGAACTCTACAACAGAAGCTACTATAATTTGGAAATTGAACAACACATGACATCTAGCTAAATGAGAAGACATACAACAGTGTCACAGAGAAATAATCTATTGGGCTCTAGATAAAAATAAAATAAAATGTTCTTGTTTCTACGTCGAGGTGACAATTAACATGTACGAAGGAGTAGTGACCAGTAGTGACTAGACCAACAAGATGAGGAACACAAATTCATGTCCAATTATCACAAGCTTAAATTTCACAGCCAGTGTCTAGCACATAAGGAACATTCCTTAATCACAAATGCGCTTTATGACTAACAAAAGAAGAAAGAGTACTCGATGATTAGATTAGGCGGTTGTACTTGTACCATTGCGTATACTAGTAAGATGCTGAGGGACGTCTTCCTGTATCAAACAACATCTATACTTATCCATTTCTAGTTCAGTGTTGATGTCTAATTACACTCCACATAATTACAGTTCACGGCAGAACAAGGATTTACGTTTTTTTTTTTGGGTTGGGGGGGGGGGGGGGGGGGAGGTGATGGGGGAACTTGACAGGCTACATTAACTAGGTCAACCTCTGAGCCTATTGCATGAGGTTCTTTCAATGAATTACGTAATTCAAAGGCTATGACCTACCAACTACGCAAAACAGTACTTTGTACATACACAATTTTCTTAAATTTGTAACTCTCTAAAGAGTCCTCCTATATAACTGAGAATAATGCGATGAGCAATAAGAAAAAAGACTCCTATTGCAGGAAAAGAGAACTGAACAGCCTTCGAACACAAATTTAAATTTTATAACTCTTTATAAAGCATTAACTAGACATAAGTAGACTTTTACCCAAGCATAGCTAGAAGCATGCTAATTAATGAAATAAAACTGAAAAAAAAAGATTATATCTTTACGATCTATTGGCACATTTCATGAAAACGAATTCCAGAACAAATCATACCTTGGTACCAAAAGGACCAACAGGCGCATCCATATCAAACCGCTTCCTTCCCTAGAAGAGAAAAAAAAATTACGCAAAAACCCAATCCCAATCAATCAAAAGCCCGGAAACAAAAAGAAAAAGAAAAGTAAATTTGGGGGTAAAAAAGAAAGAAACCAAACCTCGAGCTCAGCCTGGAGCTCCTCGCGCTCAAGCCCAGTGGCGATCGGCATCACATCCTCCACCTTCTTCGTCAACGAACCCTGATCTGATTCAAAACAAACAAAACCAAAAAAAACTCATCAAATCAAGCCCAGATCCAGAGATCAAAATCGTTCCAAAACCCCCAAAATGCGCCTCACCGGAATCCGACGAGAAGAGGCGGGAGCTCGCCGCAGCAGCGGGAGTCCTTAGGGTTCCGCCCCTAGGATTAGGGCGGAGGCGGCAGAGGGATCGAAATCGCCAGATTTGAGACGAAGCTCTCCTCCACATCGCCGTCGTCGCCATC